ATTCATTCCTAGACAAAAAATATATTTTATTCATTTAAAATAAAATAAAAATTACTTAAATATTTTTCCCCTTTAAAGACATCTAAGAAGCTTTGTCTAATTTGTCTTATTATTGTCTTATTCAGCATATTTCTAGAAACAAATCATTTTTTTTATTTGTTTAAAATGCCCCTTTAAAGATGTCAATAAAAAGACACTTTGTTATTTAGCATTTTTCTGGGGTATTTAAAAAAAAAATCTAATAGAGCTTATGAATTACATATTCTTCTCATAACTTTTTCTAAGTGCCGCCACACAAACACTAGGAAGGATTGGTGGGAGGTTATACCTTCAGGCCTAAAGGCTGTTACACTCACATTTGGGATTTTTGTCATCTGAACAAAGAGGCGGCCCACTACCAGGTCCTGACCTGCTATTCTCAGTTTAGGAAGGGGTTTATCTTTTCTGGGCACTGGACAGTAGAGCTGCCAGAACAACACAGTCTGTATTCAAGCTAAGGCATGCAGTCAGTCCACACGTTTCCACAGAGACATCGGAAGGCATGTGTTCTAGCATACTGAGATGATAACAGTCACGCATGGGGAGAAGTGTCATGCGATCTGTTTGTGTATTTGTTAATGTTCTGTGATGCTGCTGTTGTTTCAGTCAGGGTTCATTCACTGCATCACACGGCCATCAGTCATGGAATAAAATGTAAATAAATGGCATGATGGCAAAACTTTCCCAGGTGCTGTGGACATGTGAAATAAAGTAATATACATGCATTTTTGGAGAGTTGTTTTGTAATTTTTTCTTTTCTTTTTTCTTGCATAGGACATGGTGGCACAAAAAAACACAGTAAGTATCAAAACACTCTTTGCAAGTCTGGTAATCTGATGAGGTTTGTGGACAGGCTGGCATTCATTGTTGGTGTGCCAAGAGCTCTGTGTATGGGACTATTTTTGGAGCTCTTATGACATACGTGTACTTGCTCTTCTGTGTCAGTGTATATCCAGGACTTTACACAGTGAGCATATCATTTCCTGAACTCTTTTCTTTATGGACATACACTAATCTGTGAGTGGACACGAGGTTCTGGTGGCTCATTGTGTCCCAGTCGGAAGACTATTGCTGATTCAGATGAACTCATAAGGGCTGTCAAGATGTCATGGCACTTGTGTGTTTGTGGGTGTTGGTGGTTTTGATAAAGGAGAGTGTCGTTGAGTGCAAGTCTTTAAATAAACCTCTTATATTGAATGGCTGCTGAGAAGAAGCTGACCTTGACAGCATTTAATAACTCTGTTACATTGTATAACATTTATAAATATGATTCATTGAAATGGCCCAGAAACAAGCAAAAGATGGATCTGTGTTAACTTCTTATCATTAGTTATGTGAACAGAAGGGAAATTCTGTGTTTGCCCTTATTCTACATTTTCAGCCTTAGAGTGCCCCTATTATGCCTTTCATGCAGTGTGTAATGTAACTGTGTGAGAATGTAAGTGATCTGCAAAGTTGTAAAGCCGAAAGTGCACGATAAATAAAGTTATTGTCTCCCTAAAGAAAGAATCGACAGCCGAAATGAGTCATCAATAATTTGAATCCCACTTCCGTGACGGCTACACGTCACGGGGTAACACATTCGCATAATGCCCTCCTATGTTCTACATTGGCCAGCCGCGAACAACTTGCCCCCGCCCTTAAACACTGTAGCTTTGTGTGGTAAACATCATGTCAAGAAGATGCGCTGTCCTACGCTGTGAAAGTTGTATTTTCACTTTTGAAAGATGAGGCTGCAAGAGTCAGTGGTTAAAATGTATTTTTTCACTGTACCACAGCTGTACAACCTCAATCTATTTTGTGTTCCCGTCATTTTACTGACGACTGCTTCTCTAATCTCGGGGAGTTTAGCGCAGGATTCACAAAACGCATGCTCTTGAAAGATGGTTCAGTACACAGTTTATTTGGAGCAGCTGGCTCCACTGAATCCCAACCTGTAAGTATGATAAATAATGGATGTTTATATTTTCTATTGAGTGATCAAAATACAGAAGTATGGCAATGGGTGTATCGTTTCCGACACGTGCTGTATGCGGTAGACCAATCACAACTGACTGAGCCATCTGACCAATCAGAGCAGGCTTATGAAAAGGAGGGGTTTAGAGAGACTGAATCTTAGAACTGCTTTTTGAACGTTTGAGAATTGTTGGAAAATGAGGTGGTATTAAATGTATATTTTGAGAAAACTAAAGCAGGTTTTTTTTTTTTACCTTGCATGCATGTAAACCTATTGTTGGAGACCCCCAAAACAATATTAGGAACCTTAAAAATGGCAAAATAGGGCCACTTTAAGGAATAGTTTACCCAAAAATTCTGTCATTGTTCACTCAATCTCATATTCCAAACTCGATACAACTTTCTTTGTTTTGCGGGTCACTGTTTTTCATGCAGTTACAATGGGTATTGAATATTTTACAAGCTTCAAAAAGCATGCAAAAGGACCATTTAGCACTATTTTCAAAGTCTTCTGGCGTCATATGATAGCTTTGTGTGAGGAACAGGGTAAAATTTAATTCTGTATCTGTGATAATATAAACTTCTAATGAGCTGTTGACCATTGTCAGTTTATGAATGATCCATTCAGACCAATGAATCAACCACTTGACTCAAAAGAATGATTATTTTAGGAATCACTACTTCTCTCATGAACACCAAGGAAAACTAGGGCGAATGTCAAGGATTTCAGTGAAATATTATTAATTATTGCTTAAATATATGTTTGTTCCACACACCAATGTGGTTTAGTAGTATTTACATACTATAGTAATTATTAATTATTTTTATTTATTTTTTTTAAATTTAATTTCACTTGAAGTTTTAGTAATTGTTATATGCTTTTGTCATTTTAAATTACGTTTGTTTTAGTAATTTTAATTACAGTTTGTTGGCAATGCAATTTTTCTAATTTCGTTTGTTTAATATTTTTCATGTAATATTTTATTTTTGATTTGTGCATCTCCTTGGCTTACTCATTCATCTGTAATTTCTTGTTTCCATTAATACTCTATAGTCTGTATATTCTTTATCTGTCATTCTCTTTTTCTCGTTTCCTTTCAGTTCCCTTCACTGTTTGCTCTCCTTTTCTTTCTTTCTCTCTTTTTTTGTCTGTTACCTGGAGTAGGCTGCAAGGCCAGTTAAAATAGGATTCCCATGGGTCCAGTTGCCTCCCGAGTACAGGGGCTCCGGCCTAAGAAACAAAGTAGGTGCTGTGAGCATTCTAGTGCATGCTGGGAAAATCCCATATGCATGTATCAGAATGAGAGGGACCAATGATGTCTGTTACTATCTGACTCACTTCCTTTCAGTCTGGCTGACATGTCAAGGAATTAAGAGCTCTGAATCAAAGTCAGTGAGTTATTTATTGCTGAGAAACTTGGTTACATTTAAATGATTAATCATTACTCTTAAGTGGATCCAAAGACTTTAGGTGCCTGCATAACAAAATCACAGATTTCTATAATATGTACAGCTGATTTTAATGATCTCATTCATTTTTTTGTAGGATTCTGCACATCCTCTATATGTATATGTAAAATAACAGTAAAGAAATAAAATACTGTATATACTTCATACATATATTTTAATTTTTTTAACAGTTTTTTTTTTCTTTTTCGGACCACTTAGCAGCCTCTGGTGGCCCCTTGGACCCCCGTTTGAAAACCATCATGCTTTAGCTGAGAGTCTAAGGATTTGCTCAGTATTTATTATCAGACCACATGCCTGACTATTTAAATAGTCTTAAAGTGTATGATGACTGTTTGATTTGAGAGACTTGGCTTTAGATGACCCCTTACATTTGAGGTGTTGTTGTGGCAGAGTGCTAAGATGTGCTTTGGCCCCCTCCTCCGTTTTGCTCTGGAATTCTAGGACAGTACACGATCACAAAGGTGTTAACAAGATTTCCTCTGCGCTTCGAATTTCTTGGCTGCCAGCTGCTGAGTACATGATCACTAACACACAGACAGTCTGTACTTTTACACAGTGTTGCAGACAGTCATGAATTATATGACATGACTGAGAATAGGTCTATATTACATTTTTAATGCACAAATTTAGAATTTGTTTATCTTTTTTAGGCCTCCAGCGGGAACTACTATTTCATCCCCTACTTGATGATGCCCAACAACGAGTACTTGTGCTGTGAGAACGTGGCCCAGCGTAGAGCATCGGAGTACATGCAACCCAACTGGGACAACCTTCTTGGACCTCTGTGCGTCCCATTGGTTGACCGCTTCGTCAGCTTGCTCAAAGACATTCATGTCACGTCTTGGTAAGTTTTGGCAGGATGCCCATTCTCAGATGATCCTTTACAGAGTTACGTAATGGTGTCACATTTAGCTAAACATAAATCAAGCAATCGTCTTCCAATTTGTGACTGATAAACAATATTACATAAATAATTATAATAAATTACTTTTTTACATAACAAAAAAAATTCAATTTGCAGTGGAATTCTGTGTCTTGTGTTCAACATTGCATCATGGATCTAAATTAGGTGTCAAATGATCCTCAAGAAACACATCTTCTTGTCCCTGGTGTGAAGAAATGGGACTCAACCCAAACTGGATGTAGCGCTCATATTATATCTTCAAAACAGACATGCACATGTGCACGCAAGATTTATTAGGAACTCCATAGCTTCTAAAAAGTGTCGGGGTGTCCTTTCACCTGGAGCTCAGATATCAGAAGTATAGAACATCCCTGCAGATCGCAGTGCCAAGATTTTCACATCCTGTGTAGCCAGATTTGGACTATTAGTATGAAGTCTGACCCACTTTGCAGCTGTCCAAGAACATATGAAGTGACCAACCACAATTCATTTTGTTGCTGCATGATGTTTAAATGCATCGGATGGTCAGTGAATTTCGGTGGTCTGTGAGCGTCCCATCTGAAGGTGAGAGTACGTATGAATTTATCCGTGAAAACTAAATCCCATGCTATCTTCTGTTGTATCTTCTTTCTCCCTGACAGTGCTTCATACAAAGACACCCTACTGAACGACATCCGAAAAGCTCGAGATAAATACCAGGGTGAGGAGCTGGCCAAGGAGCTTTCCCGTATCAAACTCCGCATCGACAACACTGAGGTTTTGACTCAGGACATTGTTATGAACCTGCTTTTCTCCTACAGAGATATACAGGTATATAGTATAAACCAAGCACATCTAAACATTAAAAAACTTTACTGGTAGTTTTAATGGTCTTTGGTGTGTGTTTTCAGGACTATGATGCTATGGTTAAATTGGTACAGACCATTGAGATGTTGCCCACCTGTGACTTGGCCAACCAGCCCATGATTCAGTTCCACTATGCTTTTGCGCTCAATAGGTGACCACAAATCTACATTGTGTGGTATATTCTCCTATTCATATGCTTGGCAAACAGACATTTATCTTTTACAGCCCTTTGATATCAGGAACAAATGCATTTATGTTTGCGTGTGTGCGAAAACAGGCGAAATAGCCCTGGAGATCGAGAGCAGGCATTGCGTGTGATGTTGCAGGTTCTTCAGTCATGTGATCACCCCGCACCTGACATGTTCTGCTTGTGTGGCCGCATCTATAAGGACATCTTCCTCGACTCTGACTGCAAGGACACCAAGAACAGGGACAACGCCATCCAGTGGTGAGGGAGTTAAATTAGCTTGAAGTGCACTGTTTCAATGTGTTTAACAATGATTTGTTTGTTTTTTTGTTTTTTATGAATGAATCCCTTGTATTGGGCTCTGTTGACTTGAACCAGAAACAAGAAGCTGCATTAAATGTGATTGAAAACACCCAAAACACCCTAGCAACCACATTAAATGCATTAAAAACATCCAGTAACTGCATCAAATGTGTGAAAAACACCCAAGTAGTCACATTATATATACTAAAAAACCAGAATACCCTAGCATCTACTTTAAATACACTAAAAACACCCAGAACACCCTGGCAACAACATTTAAATGTGTTAAAAACACTCAGAACACACCAGAAGCTGCATTGAATGTACTAACATCACTCAAAATGTCCTAGCAGCCACATTAAATATGCTGAAACACCCAAAACAACCAAGCAGTTGCAATAAATTCAACAAAGTCACCTAGAACAGGGGTTCCCAATTTTTTCCATTCCAGGACCCACCTAAACAAGTATAATTTATTTTAAGACCCACCAAAATATTTTTGGGATTAGAAAACAATTGACATTGCTGTAAATTTAATCTAAAGTTTGATATGACAGAAATTGAGTATTTACGAAAAATAATAATTTAATTTGATAGTACAACTTAGGCCTGGGCGATAAAACGGTATCGATATTTATCGACGGTGCACCTTCTTTTTTTAGCTATATCGCCCAGCCCTAGTACAACTGTAAAATTTCACTACTAATATTTACGTTTTAATTTCTTCATTTGCAGACGTTAAAGAGTATATGAAATATGTCCATAAAAACTTGAAACATGCTCACTCCAGTGTCGATATGAAGTGTAATTCTGTAACACATTAAAAGCTCTCATGCTCCTTCCATGTAGGGGAGAGCGGAGCACAACAAAACACTTTTTAACTTTCTCAGTTTGTGTAAATCCACATGGGGTTCAGAGTGCAGTTTTTTCACATTAATTTCACACGTCTAGTACAAATATGAGGTTTTGTTTCATAACTACAGTGTATACTTTTTTCTTTATTTACCCCAAAAGAATGGAAGTGAAATGTGACAACATGCCCCATAGGTGGGGCACACTGTAACATCTGAGGGGCATGTTGTAACATGACCATATGACAGCTTAAAATCTTATCTGATCTAATGAAAAAGGAAAACACAGAGGAAAACATTCCTGAATGAACACAATCCTCCCCTCCCTGCACACAGCTCTCACAGAACAGGAGACAAATAGATGAGCTAAAATGCTTTACATTTCTTGAAATATAAATTTCTGAACAATGAACATTACTCTGTCATTATTCACCGGTTTCTCGTTAAAATTCATGAAAGCATTTAATGTAAATTACACTGCTAATGTCATAGAATAGCACAGATCTAATACTAGCGTGGCACATTGTAACGCAGTGTTGCAACATTTCCCATCTGCGAAACTGGAATTTAAAACTGGTTAGTATCTTACGCTAGTAGAAATTTACTTTTGCTGTGGTTAAATAAATGTTCATGGATGTTTTCAAAAGATTTTTATATTTTGTCACAATTTTTTTATATATTGTTGATATGGCAACTAGTCAATTCCATAAGTTTTGTAATGCTATCATGTGTGGAAATGTTTAAAATCATGTGTGTTACAAATAACCGCGTTAGTTTGTGCCCCGCTCACCCCCTACATGTGAAATGCTTTTTACAGACAGTTTCCTTGTGTTGGTAGGCAACCAAATGCATACGAAGGAACAAAAACAACAGACTCTTTATATCTCTCTAAAAGACAACAGAACTGAGTTGAACAGATGACAGAGATGAATGAACAGACCTGAAACAGTCTTTCGTAACGTTTGAATTTTCCTGTGTAATGCAATCTCATGCAGAATACAGTGCAGTGATTGGAGTGAGTGAGTTTCTTCTCTTTTATAATGCGGACCGAGCCACTTAATGATGAACCAAGTCACTCTAAGACCCTCAGTGTTATTACAACTCGTGTGTGCGTGCTTCAAAACACGCAGCGCATGTTTATTAATTAAATTGTGGTCACTAGGTAATATTGCACTTTCTATTTAATGTTGGTATATTGTGCAGCCCTAGACTAAACTGCTTGTGTGTGTGTGTGTGTGTGTGTGTGTATGTATGTGTGTGTGTATGTGTGTGTGTGTGTGTGTGTGTCATTCAAACACAAATTTAGCTGCAGCCAATTGTCTTTGTGCGACCCACCTTTTCCCACTCCAGGACCCACAGTTTGAAAACCCCTGACATAGAACACTCTAGCAGCTGCATTAAATGTATTAAAATCACCCAGAACACCCTAGCAGCCATATTACATGTATTAAGAACACCTTAAGAACTACTTAAATGTGTTATAATGACACCCAGAACACTCTAGTATCACATTAAAAAAAAGTTATTTTGTATTCATGCATGTGTGTTGTAGGTATAGAAAGGGCTTCGAGTTGCAGCCCACTCTCTATTCTGGCATTAATCTGGCAGTGCTGCTTATAGTGTCCGGGCAGCAGTTTGAGACTTCCATAGAACTCAGGAAGATCGGTGAGGAGGAACACACTTCCTGTTTCCTGTTGCTCTCAGACCATTGACTTAGTTAAGGACACAGGTTGCCCCTTCTCACCCTCTCATTCTCTCTCAGGTGTGAGGTTGAACAGTCTGCTCGGACGTAAAGGCAGTCTGGAGAAGATGAATAACTACTGGGACGTGGGGCAGTTCTTTACTGTCAGCATGCTGGCCAATGACATCCCCAAAGCTGTGCAGGCTTCAGAGAAACTCTTCAAACTTAAACCACCCATATGGTACATATATGGTCCCTATGGTACATATAGAATAAACACTGATGACACTGATGCAGGAAATAGGAATTTGAATCTGGCCACATCCTCTCTCTTCTACTCATGATTTCTTGTCATAGCTCAACTTTTATTGTTAAAATGGCAGCTTAATGCAACTCACATTCATTTCATCTTTCAGGTACCTGCGATCAGTCGTCCAAAACCTTCAGTTGATTCAGCATTTTAAGAAGCAGAGCACTGAGCATTCTCCTCAAAGAGAGAGACTCAACTTCTGGATGGACATTATTGTGGAGGCCACACAAGGAAGCACCAACGGCCTGCGTTTTCCGGTAGTACACCGCCTCACATGTGTGTCTCATCCAGGACCACTCCTGTATTGGCTGAACAGCATTTCATGGACTCATCACTTCTTCTATTATACAGGTGTTGATTCTGGAGCCGACTAAAGTGTACCAGCCCTCGTACGTGTCCATTAACAGTGAAGCTGAAGAGAAGAATGTTTCTATATGGCATGTGTCGCCTGCTGAGACGGTCAGTGGTTTATATGACATCATGTTTGCTGTATAATGTTATTTTGTGGATATTATATAATTTTCCTAACTGATGTGTTCACAGAAGGGAATACATGAGTGGAACTTCACAGCATCATCCATCAAAGGGATTAGGTGAGAGTGAAATTCTTTTCTGAATGTTGTTTCAAGACAAACAAACAATATTAAAGTAGGAACTAGTTCTACTAGTCTTATCTGGCAAAATCGTCAACTTGTGCGATACTGGTATCATTGGATATTTTTTTATTTTTTTAAATCATGTTGGTCGACATTGTATATTTAATTGTGCTCATTCTCCTCTTTTTGCATTTAGATTAATGCTTACTTCAGTGTTGTTACTGAAACTGATTGCAGGGATATAACTAAAGACAGGACAAACTAACAAAAACATAAAAACAACTGCGGAGCACGCCACGGAGGCAGCCATCAGCGTCGGCGCCATCTTATCTATTCTCTATTCTAGTCATATGACCCCTTTAAAACTACAACTTTTAACAATCATTTTCATTCATTAAAATAAATATAAATGAAAATAGAATATAGAATAGAATATAACTATTGCCTTTGCAACTAAGTGAAATAGGATACAAATGAGTTGAAGTACTAAAATTACTAAAACTAACATTGAAATAAAGCTAAATATAAATATTTTAAAATAAAATGAACAAAAAAGACAAACGCACATTCTAAATTCTAAAAGCTGAAAATACAGTATTACAATAAAAGCTAATTCAAAATTATTAATAAATAATATAATAGTATATTAGTAATACTAAAATAACACTGGCCCACTTAAAGTTAATCTTCCAAACCACTAATAACACTATAATAATATTTATTTTTATATAATTATAAGAGTAATGTTTTTTTTTAATATTTAAAAACATATTCCTAGTGTCCTTTATTCCTTTATAGGTAATATAGTATACAATTTTAATATTGGCTATTAATCAGCCATAACGTGAAAATGGCAGAATTTTATTATTAGTGCATCCCTAGTCTTTACCCAGATTCATTTTCATAAAGTGTCAAAACTAGCAGATCCAATGCTACTGCTACCATCTCCCACATTGTTTCAGCAGCAATCCTTCCATTTAAATGTGATTTATTCATGATCCCAGAGATGTGAAATAAATCTTGCATTCTTCCACTCTCTAGCATCTCAAAATTCGATGAGCGCTGCTGCTTTTTGTATGTCCATGACAACTCGGACGACTTCCAGATCTACTTCTCCACAGAGAACCAGTGTGGCAGGTTAGTGTTCCTGAAGTGAATCGATTAGGTTTCAAACTCTGCTACTCATGGAGGTTACTGATGCATGGATGGTTGGTTGTCACTTATTTGAAGGTTCTGCTCCATGGTGAAGGAGTTGATCACAGACGGATCAGGAAATGCTGTCGAGCTGGAGGGGGAGGGAGAAGGAGACACCCTGGAGGTGAGAGCTTCAAAAACTCACCTAAAGTTAGTTTTATTTGAATTTGTGAGATTTGGATACTTAAATCCCGAATCATTCTGCAGTACGAGTACGACTACAATGAGAATGGCGACAGGGTGGTTTTAGGTAGGGGAACTTATGGAGTGGTCTACGCAGGGAGAGACCTGAGTAACCAGGTGCGCATTGCCATCAAAGAGATCCCAGAGAGAGACAGCAGGTGAGATTCTTATGACAATCTGACCAGCAGACCAGCATGAATGTTCACCAGCATACTGAATGTTGTATCAGGCTTCTTACAGGATAGTTTAGCCAAAAATGAAAATTCTGTTATAATTTTACTCACTCTCATGTCTGTATGACTTTCTTTCTTCTGTGGAACATAAAACAAAAAGATATTTTGGAAAATGTCTCAGTTTTTGTTTTTCATACAATAAGTCATTTGGCTACAATGTTGTATGGACACCAACATTCTTCAAAATATCTTTTCTTCTGTTCCAGGTTTGGAACAACATGAGAGTGAGAATTCCTTTTTGGGTGTTCTGTCCCTTTAAAGCAGCAAAACCATTTGTGACCCTGGTCCACAAAACCAGTCTTAAGTCGCTGGGGTATATTTGTAGCAATAGCCAAAAATACATTGTATCATTGTGTCAAAATGATTGATTTTTCTTTCATGCCAAAAATCATTAGGACATTAAGTAAAGATCATGTTCCATGAAGATATTTTGTAAATTTCCTACCATAAATATATCAAAACTAAATTTTTGATTAGTAATATGCATTGCTAAAAACTTTATTTGAACAACTTTAAAGGCGATTTTCTCAATATTTTGATTTTTTTTTGCACCCTCAGATTCCAGATTTTCAAATAGTTGTATCTAAATATTGTCGTATCATAACAAACCATACATCAATGGAAAGCTTATTATAAATCTCAATTTCAAAAAATTTACCCTTATGACTGGTTTTGTGGTCCAGGGTCACATTTTACGTTTGTAATGTAATTCTGCGCGAAACAGGATATTCGTTCAGGTTGCATGTTCGTCATCTATCATAAATGAAAAGTTAAGTAAAAAGGATTAAAATTAATAATTTAATAATGCAATAATTTTGGGAATATATATATATATATATATATATATATACATTTCTAGACCCAAAAACTAGAACAAATGTCAAAAGCACATAACAAAATGACTAAAGCTTAAACTAAAATGAAAATGAAAATATAAAAATAAAAGCAAATTCGAAATATGGATAAATACTATAATAGTATTTAAATAATACTAAAATAACACTGATACATTCAGGTATTCCCAACCACTGCATGAGGAAATAGCCCTCCACAAGTACCTGAAACACAGGAACATTGTTCAGTACCTGGGCTCGGTGTCAGAGGACGGATATATCAAGATCTTCATGGAACAGGTCCCTGGAGGTACATGTGTATTTTCTAATAGAAGAATATCAAGAACGTCTTTTCTACTTTATATTTGATTTGTTCTTCATAGTCATCATATTTCCTCTACAGGAAGTCTGTCAGCATTGTTGCGTTCAAAGTGGGGCCCTCTGAAAGAAGCCACCATAATCTTCTACACTCGGCAGATCTTGGAAGGACTTCGTTATTTGCATGAGAACCAGATTGTTCATCGGGACATCAAGGTAACTGATAAATCTTTTGGATCTATATTTGGATGCCCTCAAAAATGTGAATGTTCATTGACCGATCATCTTTCCACAGGGAGACAATGTCTTAGTCAACACCTACAGTGGCGTGTTGAAAATCTCAGACTTCGGCACGTCCAAGAGGCTGGCTGGAGTCAATCCCTGCACAGAGACGTTCACTGGTATTTGTTTCACTTTCATTGTCTTTTGTTAGTTGCAAGATGCACCCTCCGTGTGACCCTCTCGCTGTTCAATTTGACCCGTGCTGTGTGTCGTCATACATCCTGGTGGTCTTGCCAGGTCAGGGTTTTAGGCTTAGTTAAAGTTCGGTCTATCATTAGCCCCACCAAACAGGATCTAAGGGAGTTTCATTCCTCCCCTTTTAGTGTGTATACCTCCTCCTCCATCCAAACGCTGTCAGGATACATTTATAAAGTGTGTATTAATGCTCTATATAAGGGGTTTACAAAGAGTTTCATGGAAAAAGGTTTAGAGAAAAATAGTGTAAAAAATGTTAAATAAATAATACATTGATTAATCTTTAAAAAATATAGTAAATGAAAAATTAATGAACAGTTATTTGATTAACTAATTTACAAATAAATCATTTGACATATATACACACTACTTTTCAAAAGTCTGGGGTCAGTAAGAGTTTTTAGTGTTCTTGAAAGAAGTCTCATGGCTGCAATTTTTTAAAATAAAAAATACACTAAGAACTGTAATATTGTAAATTATTATTACAATTTAAAATAACTGCATTCTTATTACACAGCTATTTTTAAATGTTTTTGAAAGGAGTCACCAAGGCTGCATTTATTTGATCAAAAATACAGTAAAAAACTGTAAAAGTTATTCCTGTTATGGCAAAGCTGAATTTTCAAGAAACATAGTATTATAAATGTTGGAAAACATTTGTGCTGCTTAATGTTTTTTTTTTTTTTAACTGTGATATATTTCTTTTTAGGATTCTTTTATGAATAGAAAGTTCAAAAGAACAGGTTTTATTGAAAATATTTTTTTCCCTTTTTTTCCTGTCAATTTTAAATAATTTAATGATTTTTTTTTTGTGCTGGAAATGGTTTTTATTTAAAAATATATATTTTTAGAATATTAAAAACCCTTGCCCATATTTAAAAACCCTTGCAAATTGACTAAATTGGCCATACACTGGTGTGGACTGGTTCACCTCTCCAAGGCTTAGATAACTTTTATTTCCTGACACAAAATAGACGGCGTTTCTTCCAGTGCGGCAAGCGATCATGAGTCCTGGTCACTGGTAACATGAGAATGTCTCCTGTGGGTGAGTAATTAGATTAGCATAGTATCTGAGACAGGAGTGTGTTTATGTTTCATTAGTGACTGCTGAAGCATCAGAGCAGGTGCGCTCATCTGTCCTCCCCCTCGCCTTTCACTGTCAACTTCACTGCTGAGCTTCTCTCCTTGATTTATTTTATTTTGTGTAACATCCTGTCATAGCACATTCTTATCTAATGAAGTTTTGCTTTTCCCTTGTAAATCTCTGTCCAGGTACGTTACAGTATATGGCCCCTGAGATCATCGATAAAGGCCCTCGAGGTTACGGGGCACCTGCTGATATCTGGTCCCTGGGCTGCACCATCATAGAGATGGCCACAGGCAAACCTCCTTTCCATGAGCTGGGAGAACCACAGGCTGCCATGTTTAAGGTATAAATATATTTTCTTAAAAATGTAAAAAAAAAAAAATAAGT